GATGCGGAAGAGGCAAACACAGATCCTCGCAGTTTTTTTTCCAATTGGCCATTGAACCCTATATTAATCAAACAGTATTTAAATTTATTCCTGGTGTAATCCTCGAAAGTGGAACCATGCGCCATTCGTAAGCATGCTGCTCCAAATTGAATGTCTCCATGGCCTTAAAAGGGGGCGATAGAATGAGTCATAAAGGAAACATTTGTCTCACAAGTAAAAGGACAGCATTCTGTATTTCGTAGGTAGATGTGAGATTTTATATATCAATCAAGGGGTGCGCGATAGACTTACCTCCAAGTGGTACACCCTGGGGGGCAACGTATACTCATACGGCAAAAAAGTCTATTAACCGGCAGTTGACTTCTGACTTCAAACTACCATGACCCTACTGTATCCCATATTCTACCACCGCCACAGTAATCATTTTACCTTTTCTAAGCCTCTGTGTCTGTCTCTTCTACAACTGTAAACCACTCTTCTGTTCCCCACCCATCGACTTTCTGTCACTTTGATGTTCCTCCTCCTCTCTGTGAAGCCCGAAGTCAGCTAAAGGGCTAATGATAACTATCAAAACACCTGCCATTTGAAATAAAAAAATATATTAATCAAACCTTTACTCGCGTGTCTATTTGCTCATTCAAAACGTTTGGGACACAAATTCGCATTTCCGCACAAAGATATAATCATAAAGCTAATGTAGCATCATCATATTATAAAATCATTCTTGGGTAGAACTTACTATGAGAGCTGGCATTAGTCCCAACAGATAGAAACCAGTATATCTAAAAGGCATATTTAGACTTACACGATGCAAAGGCAGTAACATCTATATAATAATAGGAAAAAAAAATGTAAGGTTCATACTTGGCAACTAAAGGCGGCTGTTTGGTCGCTAGGAGGATAGGTTCGATGATAATATAGATAGCCCAGCATGGAAGGCAACATAAGGAAAGAATGACAGCAGCTGCAAATTCAAGGGGGAAGGAAAGAGGATGGAAATCACGCTCATTTAACCTATTTGGTAATTGGAAGGCATGGGGATAGGAAAGAATGCGGTATTTGTTAGTAAATTTAGCTTACCTCTTTGAACTTGCACACCGAGACGGAATTTGTTCTCCCCTCCAAAAGTCTGAAATTGAAATTAGAATGTGTTAAACAGTTAAGAGACGAGAAAAGTTTCATAAAGTACTGAAACAGCATTTTCATTTGTTTAGCCATAGGCAAGGTCTAACTAGCTCTACTTTAACGAAAATCCCATCAGCGCTTAAAATTAATTATTAATATCAAGTTTGCACAACCATTTTATTTAACAACACTCTTGAATACTGGCTTTGGCACTTTGCAAAAAATAGTGACTTAATTAGCATTCTAAAAAATTCTAATTCGGTTGGTCACAAACGCAACAGCACTCTCTGATGGAAAAACTCAACATTCACCAACATTTTAGGACACTAGAGAGTATGACTACCCCCGGGTCCATAAACAATTTCATTAACCGAAGTAATCCAGAAATGAAATTTTCAAATCTCGGAGAAATAAGGTTTAATAGTTGAGAAAGTCACCTTCTGCTAGTTAACGACTGGCAATTTGAAAATCTAGATAGGCACCGCTAGATTTCGATCTCATAATCACAGAATTCGTATGCTGACGTGGCTCGTTTGGCTGACGCTCTACTTACTCTGTACAATTAACGCGGAATTTCAAACACTGGAATGATGTACGCCAGTATTTCACAAATTCAACTGTCCGTTCTCTTCTAGTGTTACAAGGCTTTGGACTATCGAGAAAGGGGTTTGGATCACCAATCCTTAAGATCAGCCCTCTTGGAGCGAATATGAGAATACCTCGCGTTGCTGATACCTTACTTAGATGAGATATAGGAACAGTCGCCTTCATACATTTGTGACCTCAATTTACTACTATTGATAGACAGCAGTAATCTAGCTACTTAAGGACTGCTATTGTTGGAAGAGACCTTCCATGATATTAAGCGATTCGAGGACTATCAACTCAAATCTAACCGGGAAGTGCGCTAAAAGATAAATTAAAAAGAAGATAGCCATAAAATCGAATGAAATCTTTGGATCTAGATTTAACATATTGAAATTTGAAGCCGATAAAAAAAACAGAAAACATAGTTGAAGTGATTTCCTAACTCTTAATCCTCCTTTACCTTCATTCGCCAAACGCAACACGTTCACTAAAGAACACTTGGAGGCTCAATCTCTAAACATGAAGTTAGAGCTTAAAAAAATGGAGAGTACATACTTGGGGGAACAGAGTATCACTGGCAGTGAGGAGACCGGCCATGATTGAAAGTCCAGCAACATGGAAGATGCAGATTGCAAGACCACCGGCTGCCAACTCCGTCGGCCCCATTTTGCCGAGGAAATAGATACTCACGGGCACCATTATGTAATTACACATATTTGTCAGAATCTGCAGGAAAAAAAGAATGAATTGGATGAGAGATTTATAGCCTCATAAAGCCCATCAAAATATAGAAAATTTTAAGACAAATTATACCTACACATGGGGTGCGTGATAGACTTACCTCCACGTAGAATACTCTGGTTAGCGTATAATCTTATGGCAAAGAGGTCTATAGACCGACAGTTGACTTCTGACTTTAAACTGCCAAGACCCAACTCTATATTATATCCCCCCCCCACTTTCACAGTACTCACCTTACCTTTCTATCTACCTCTGTGTCTTTTTCTTTTACACCTGTGAATCATTCTTCTGTTCACCCCTTTCGACATTATCCGACTAAAGGGCTAATGATAACCATCATAAAGATTACCATTTGATATAAACAAATTTTCATCACAGTGATATCCTGTACTTTTGTAATATAAAGCAAATTTTGCCAGGAATATGAAATTATGAAAGAGAAATTCCCACTTTAACTTACACACAGAAAAAATTCTGTTACCTCTTTTACTATTCTACTCCGCTTAACAATTTGATGAAAGACCGTGAAAGAAGAGTTTTCTATAATTTGAGCCATTTGAGCATGCAGTTCTGTATCGATTTCCTATCCTATTAACATTCAAACAACGGCTTTCCGAACTTGGGAGTACGTTGATACCATTTCTTATTCTTGAAAATGTCAAAACGTCTGAAAATCTCCAAGGGGGGGGGGGGGAAGGGGTGAGGTGGAACTCGTTAATTGCACTTGTTTATGGTCATATTCCATTGCTTTAGTGAGAGACATGCCCTAGTATTCAGATTTCTAGTAATAGGAGCAATTCGAACTGCTCCTCAAGCCTAAAGACTATCATCTTGCGTAGTGCATCTTGAATTTTTGACAAGGATTTTGCGAGTATTTCTAATGTTGATAACATTATTTAAATAGTAAAATATATTTTATTTAAAATGACCAACAAGATGCGTCGTGGCTAAAATAACGGGAAATGACATTTTGATTTTGATATTTCAAACCCATTTACACACTTTGCCTGGACCAAACAAAGAATGGAATTAACATTACAGACACAAAAAATTGATGTCTAGGCATTCGATTATAATTAAAATTGATGTTAACTACCATTACCTCGTGAATACTACCAAGAATTAATTAGACAGTCGAAAGTGTGTTAAAAAAATAGAATGAAGACCCATACTTAACTACTACGAGTTATAATTAGAAAGTTGGTCAATGGAAAACGTCGAATTGTAAAAATGATGATAAGATAGAGATTTTTAAGAGAACTCTGGCGAGCTAGGCAGTTTCACAGTTATCTGTAATTAAATATTGGTAAATTGCAGTGACGTAAACAAAGGTTGAATCGACGAGACCGCTCAAAAAACCTTGGGCTAACGTGAATTTCGCGCTACTAGCAAATCCTGGAATTTTCACATCGGGGATCCCGTTGTAACTAAGTTTTATCCGAGAATATGGCACTAGGATTAAAATAAAGCCTCGTGAAACACAATGACTTCAGTACCTAATAATTCGTGTTTCCCTTATTCGCATGTTTTCCCGTAATGAAAAGTTGTTTAAAGTGACTGCTAATCCCGTGGCTGTAAAAGTACACGTGCATGATAAATTGATTGATCGATAATTTAATTAATTCGAATGGTCAATACACGCAAAATATCGCAGACATAAACACACATAGAAAAAAAATGGATAAGTTTGCAAAGATTGGTTAATAAAGTGCTATAAATTAAACACTTCAAGAGAAAACTGTTAGTTGACAATGCTTCCAGAATTGAAAAATTAAGTAAAACGGTAGGAATTCCACCGTTTACATTCATTTAATTCGTGTGCGCAAATACGCCCCCCCCCCAAATCAACACTTGTACAGTTTGCGTAGATTGTAATCGCAATTTCACGAAATATACATATTACATTCTCTTCAATGCATCTATCCACAAACTCTCGCTTTTCCAACTAATTAGGATGGGAATATATAATAGAAACTGTTAAAGAACTATACTCAAATCCCAATTTTTCTTATATAACTCATTTAAATTTCAAAACACCTCACGTAAATGCAGGCTTAAAAACCGAATTTCAGTAATTACTAAGCTGCGTAAGGATGACTAATTTTCACCTGTCCTAGATAGAGAACAAATCGATTTTAAGTAGCGTAAGACTTACTATGGGGAACGCTAATATGGCAAGATGCCTCCATTCTGACCAAAATCCAAAGGGAAAATAACGAGCCCAACATCCTTTTTTTTCAGTTTTGTCTTGGAGGCTGATTTCACTACTATATGCCCTTCCTAAAATTAAACAAAGCATTTATTACCATACAAAATTAAATTGAGGTTATTTCATTCGGAGTAGGAACGTACCGTTGGATTTTCCCTCCATCGCGTAGACAATCTGTAAGTACGAATAGAGCCGGTAATTTTTATACCCTCTTCAAGAACAGAAATTTGAATACCTCCCCTGTTAAGTAAGCCACAAGTATCGAATTAATTCAGTGTGGTCGAGGTGAATGATAAATTAAGGCAACGTTAGTAGAAATCTGTCAGAGCAAAGTGAAAAAATAGCCTTAAAAACTGCACTACCTCCACTCTAACAGTGTGAATGGAACTAAACTCAAAAACGTGCTTTGGAAAATGTCACCTTAATAAGAGGACAAATGTAAATTGCAAATATTTCCAATGTGAAAGTGGCAAAATCCGAATCGAACAGTTTTTAAACAATGGATAGACATAAACCGTACTCTAAACCTTAATAATTTCATTTTTCTATGATCGTGACAGTTCATATGCACCGCAAAAAATAGACAAATTAACTGCAAAAAATAATCTATTAGGAAACTGAGAAAATGTTTACAATTAATATGGTTCTAAGTTAGCCCTGCAGTTGACATTGAATGAATTTTGATGAATTGGACAAACTGTTTTTCGAGCAAAAATAGTAAGCAAAGTTATGGGCAACAAGACCTTGAGCTGAAAGCAGAAAAGAACATACAGCAATAATCCGCAAAGGCAGTCAAATTATGACTATTTCCCGTGCGTTCGCTAAGGCTTGTCCACTTACCGTTATGTGATGGGCGAAAAACGAAACTGCTGATTGGTTACAATGGGCATGTTAGGATTGGCTGATTTTAGCCCTGCACCACTAATATCGCTTGTTCAAATTTTTAGTAGAATTGGAGTTATCAGAAAGGCCATATAGAAGAGACTTTGATACGGGAAAATTTTGGTCATGATTTTTAAAAATTATTATTAATTTATATATTTGCCTTTATAATCTTTTGAAGGAAAATTACTAGCAGGATGAAGGACCAATGTGGGTAATATTATTCCAGTCACGGATAGTATTCTTAAAACAGGGTGGATATGTGTGCTGACTGTAAGGATCTGCCCGTGGAATATGGTCCAACTTTGAATGCGATAGAGCAAGAGATTGCAGCAATCTGTTTCTGTATCTTACCTTATCTTATCAGTACTTGTGATCAACGATGAATCGTACTCTTTTCCTCCAACTCCTAATCGATTTCCCTTCGTTACCTTAATCTATGTAGTCTCTACATGCTCACTTTGTTCTCCCAATATAGCCACCAGCAACTAACTAACAAGCATTAACGTTAGTTAAATCAATCCAATTTAATCGTTTTCTTGTAGAACAACACTTGAATTTAATGCTTAACAGCAAATCGTATTGAGTTTACTCAATTTATATATCCAAACCCAGGGTGCGCGATAGACTTACCTCCACGTGGTGCACCCTGGGCAACGTATGCTCATACGGCAAAAAAGTCTATAAACCGGCAGCTGGCTTCTCACTTCGAATTACCATGACCCTCTGTATGTCATATTCGACAACTTTCACAATACTCATCTTATCTTTTATCTGCCTTGGTGCTTGTCTGTCTCTTTTACATCTGCGAATCACTCTTCTATTCCCCCTCTTGAATTCTTCTCACTTTGATGGCCCCCTCCCCTCTGTGAAGCCTGGCGCCAGCTAAGGGGCTATCATAACGCCTGCCATTTGAAATAAATAAATATCCAAACCCCAATATGTAATCGATTGTAGAAATAATTTTCACTCGCACATACTAACGGCCATTGTTATTTATAAAGGGGACTTTCAGCACTCATGATGGAAGTTGGTAGCATCAACCCTGTGAGGAGCTTGAATTAATCATGCTCATTTGTAGGTGTGGCTTAAACATACCCAGTTGGCATTGAACCTCCGAACTTTGAACTTGCAATAGAGAAAGCTAACCACTTCGCACTCTTGGCTTTGGCACCAAATAAGGACAAACGCGCTGTATTATAGTGCACAGCAAGAAAACGACAACTGAAAGCGACAATGAAAACTGTATTGTTCATAAGAAATCATGCAGCATTACCCTTTACTTCAAAACAATTTTTTCATCGCAATTTTTTATAAATTCGTGAGTGGCAGCTGTAAAAGCTTGTTATTAAGTTAACTTAATCGAAATAATCAGCATAATTTCCCATCACGGATACATATCTGACACAGAGCTTCATCTATTCATTTAACGAAGATAGTGAAGGCTACTATCCACAACTATTTATTTATTTTAATTGGCAGGCGTTTTGACAGTTATCATTAACCCATTAGCTGACTTCGGGCTTCACTGAGGGGAGGAACGTCAAAGTGAGAAAATTTCGAGAGGGGGTGGGGAATAGAAGAGTGTCATAGATGTAAAAGAGACAGGCAGACAGACAGACAGACACAAAGCAGAGAAAAGGTAAGATGGGTACTGTAGAAGTGATGACATGTGACATACTCTCGGGTCATGGTAGTTTGAAGTCAGAAGTCAAGTGCCGGTTTATTGATTAGTTTGTCGTAAGAGTATACGTTGTCCGGGGCGCACCACATGTAAGTAAGTCTATCGCGCATCCCACTATCCACAAATATTTTATTGTTAAAATCTGAATTCGCCATTTGGCTTAGTGTAAGCACATCTCATCATATTTTCGCTGACAATTGGAAAGTTCAACTAAATATTTATTTATTTATTTCAAATGGCAGACGTTTTGATAGTTATCATTAGCCATTTAGCTGACTTCAGGCTTCACAGAGGGGAGGAGGAGGAACATCAAAGTGACAAAAAGTCGAGAAGGGGGGGGGGACAGAATAATGATTCACAGGTGTGACAGAGATAGACAAAAGAGCAGAGAAAAGGTAAGATGAGTACTGTGAAATGGGTTGAATATGGCATACAGTGGGGGTAGTTTGAAGTGAGAAGTCAGCTGCCGGTTAATAGACTTTTTTGCCGTATGAGTATACGTTGCCC